GGAAGGCCGAGGTGGTAGGATTGTTTGAGACAGGAGTTTGTGGCCAGCCTGAACAACAAAGCCAGACCCAATCTCTTGGAAAAAAAAAAAAATCGTCATTAAAACAAACATTAAAACAAATCTGACTATGTGTGGTGGCTCACACATGTAATCCCAGCACCCTGTGAGGCCCAACTGAGCAGATCACTTGAGCACAGAATTCAAGACCAGCCTGAGCAAGATGGCAAAACCCTGTCTCTACAAAAAATACAAAAATTAACCAGGAGTGGTGGAACATGCCTGTAGTCCCAACTACTTGGGAGGCTGAGGTGGAGAATGGCTTGAGCTTTGGAGATAAAGGTTGTGGTGAGCTGAGATAGTGTCACTACACTTCAGCCTGGGCGACAGAGCCAGACCCTATCTCAAAAACAAACTAAACAAACAAAAATAGAAAATCCCCCCAAATCCAAAATTGTGCCATTATTGCATGCTAACAATTTACTAAACCACATATCAACTTTGTATTAATATTAAAGAAGAGGCAGATTGCCTCTACTGCCTGAAAAATTTATTGAGTTATATTTTTATTGACACTGTAACCTGTTTAAAATCAAATGAATTGCCACATAATGTTTACAAATAATTCATTTTTTTTTATCTTTTAAGGGTTGGATTCTCTTCTTTTAAAACTAGTTTTATTTCTACTCAATGATTTCTCAAAATTCCATTATTACACAATCAATTGATCAATAATTAATAAGTCTGGTATGCCATTATTGGCTCGACATAGTGGCACAGGCCTGTAATCCCAGCTACTTTGGGGGCTGAGGTGAGACCATCTCTAAAAAAGAAAGAAAGAAAGAAAGAAAGAAAACATCCAGGCCAAGTGCAGTTGGCCTGGATAAATAAAAACTATTATATTGTCATAATTTGCCAAGGTATTGTGTAGAGAAATAAAAAGAGACTAGCATTATAATCTTACGTAATAAAAATGTATACCTATGTCTGCATAGAAAGAATAAATTAAAAAATAAGCAAAACACTTAGTGATTATCTGGATAATGAGATAATGTGATTACTATTTTGTACATTAATGCAGTTTCCAGATTACTTACTATAGGCACATTTTATTTTTGTAATACATAAAAAATATATTTATGTCCTTAAGGAGCATATCTTATAACTGGAGAAGAAAATAAAGTAGCATACAGTAAACAAATAGAAAATAATTGAGTGCAAAATTGTACAATTACTGAGAATAAATCCAGTAAGTCGTTCAGAGAAGGGAGATCAGAAATACTGAAAGAAAGTTCACTTCAGTTCTCTTTTTGTATAAATATGGCAGAAATTTAGTATCTGCTATCTTGAGAAAGTTAACATGCATAATGGAAATAAAAGCTTAGGACTAGGCCTGGCTCAAGTGAGCCTTCTGCCTCAGTTTCCCAAAGTATTGGGATCACACTGTGAGCCACAGTGTCCAGCCAACATGGTAACATCTTCTGCAATTCTTCTGATTAGAGAACATTTTATATTATAAAAAAAAAAAAGAAAGAAAATTTATATCACAATATTGTTCTCAGACAAAAATAATGTAGCAAGATTGACTGCTCTTAAGTTAAATAAAGGAAGGACTCAATTAAATCATTCTTGTAGCACATGTAGTCACTCAAAAGCATAGATACTCTGCCCGGTGTGGTGGTGTGCACCTGTAGTCCCAGCTATTCTGGAGGCTGGGGGTTCAAGTCCAGTCTGGGCAAAATAGCAAGCTCTGTCTCTAAAAAAGACAAAAAAGGTATAGATACACTATGAATTTATGTAAATATCTATATTTTATTAATTCTAGAATGTAAAACATAATTATTTTATGAATCACAAAATATGCTACCAATTAAACTGTAATATATAATAGATCAATTGTAACATGAATCCTGATAAAATGTGAAAAATCTGTATTTTATAATCAGTGAAATAAGATCTGCATTTTGTGACCATTTGATGAATGTCTACTGCACCCACAAATATGAGGCTAGGATACAAGCTTTTGTTTATCATTGTACCCATGGCCAGTACAAATAATTTTCTAATAAATCCTTGACTGAATGAATGAATGAATAAATAAATAAATAAACGAACAGGTGAATGCATAATCAAATAAGAGATTTGTCTTACACTGCAAATGCCTAAATGATAAATAAGAAATGCCTTTTAAATAAGGATTAACTGCTAAATAAGTACTGTAAAGTAACAATAATATTGTCTGACATTTATTTTTAAGTGATGCATCTATGTCTTTGGAAAGAAGTCCTGAATATGTTTAAAATCTGTTAAGAACCACCCACCTCTGTGTGAAGCAGGTGAAGGTTGACTTGTAAAGCCCAAATGAGTAATCTGAGGTGTTTAAAATCGCAATTAAATTGGGTGGGGAGAACAAGCTGTTATTTCCTCCTATTCTTCTGTTTTTAAAACAGCCAACTTCAAACACTCTGCCTTTACCTATGAGAAAAGCAGTTCTATACCCTTATAGAATCCTTAACAGAGATACTGCTCTGTTCTACCCCAGGTATTTCTGCTATAGGATAAGGATTCAACAGAAAAAAGCAATTATCTTCATCCAGACACATGCAGGAGTTATTATAGTGTGATTATTGAACCAAACTCTTATACAGAGAGATGCATTTCAAACAAGAATTCTATTAGCCAAGGGAAGTTACTCTTTTGCCTCCTGTTGCTATTCAAGTCTTTTCTCCTCTGTCCTTCACCAGCCTTACCCCCACTCTCTGAACCAGCAAAGCCAAGTTTCTGATGCAAAGTGGCTCACAGGCCTGACTGGACCAGACTGAAGGTGTTCAAACAGCAAGTAACAGGGAGCAGAAATCCATGCTAGAGTGGGGTATGGAATATATTTATATTTGTACAGAATGCCTTCTGACTTAATTCAGCCAAGAGTTGTGAGTTATGTAGGTGAGTTACCATGGAGCTATGAATACAAGTTGATATTCTGGAATCCTAGATAGCCATCTCCAAACTTCAGAAAAAATTCTTATGTGCTCATTTGCAAAAATATCCATAGCATGGTCTTAATTGAGAAAAAAAGTTGTAGATCAAATATGTAATTTTTAGTTTTTTTTTAGGGTATGTTTGGGCTGTAGATAAATCTGTTCAAAAAACAGAAGATAATCATGGTTGAAAGGAGACAGTGCTTGCCCTCAAGCAGTGATTGTCTGGTGACAGAGACAGGACTTGTATGTAAACAAAATTGGGATACTAAGGTAGCTAGTGAGAGGTAACTTAAGAGAGGATCAGATAAGGTATTAAGAGAATTCAGAAAAGGGACTGGATTAATTCTGACCTAGAGCATCGAAGAATGTTCATGGAAGACAGTGTTTTCACCAGATATTGAAGGTGTGGATGAGGATATATAGAATGAGTATATTCAGAATCTACTTTAAAACAAATACTTTTCTCTGTTTAGTGGAGTTGAGCTACACATCCAACAATAATGAAAAAAAACACACACACATATATATACATATATGGAGAGATATGTATTTTAGTACATGCAGCAATTTATTAATAAATGTAGAGTTTAAATTGCTTGCAAAACCTTAGAGTGATAGCAAACTTCATTGTGGGATGTTTAGCAGCATCCCTGGCCTCTAGATTCCAGTAGCCTACTCCTAGGTGTGACAAGCAAAAACACTTCCAGGCATCGACCTCTGGGGGCAAGAAAGCCCTTTATTAAGAACCACTGGTATGCATAAGTAAAACATACACAAGAGATTCCTCCCCTCTTCTCTATATGTGAATAAAAATTACAAAGTTCATGACCTGGATTTTCCTTTTAGGTTTCTTCTTCAGTGGTTCTTAACTTCATTGGGTCAAGTAAGCCTTTGAAGATCTGTTGAAAGCTGTTGACTCATTCACTTCCAGGAAATGCACATGTTTCTACAATACTAGGGGATTTGCATCAGGGTTCTCTGGTGACCAGTTCTGTTTCCAGGAGCTCATAGAATTGTCATGGTCTGTATATTCAAGGTAACAGAAGGTTGACGTACATAGGTCTGTATTCGGAGCCTCTTCTGGATTTACGTCAGAACACTGATAATCAGGTGAGAATGTTCTGATTTATCAAACCCTTCCTTTTTGCTGAAGAAGGTTTTTGGCATTAGTTTTAGCAAAATTTATTCCGACAGAAGACAAAACACTGATGAGGTAGGCTATCTCCGGCTCCTCCTCCCTCTCTTCTGGTCTTTATTTCCATGTAGTCCTAGACTCCTGATTGTCCAGGAGAATGAGGCAAAAGAAAAAAACAGTCTAGCGGGTAAGAAAGGGTCACCCGGACGCTGGATTTGGATTGTGAAATAAAACACACACACATGCACCCATAGAATATGGAGCTAAAATCTGAGTAAATCGTGAACTCTGTATATCCATCACCTATTAAATACTCCTAATTACATACTCCGCCGATTAAATACTCCTAATTAAATACTCCACCTATTAAATACTCCTAAAAAACTTTCTAGAAATTCAAGGGTTTATTGATATAGAAACCTCGACACTGTTCCTCTTCTCCTCCCCATCTGGATGAGAGCACCTGCGGCAGGCTGTGGAGTTCCCTGAATCACACAACCTAGGAGTCCAGGTCAGCACGCCCAGAGACCGCGGGCCTCTTCCTCTACGTCGGGCTCTGCTCTCCCTTAAGGAGTCCCACAGGGCCTGGCCCGACCGTGACCTCGCAGCCCGCGAGGTTAGTAACCGGGGATGAATGAGGATCCGGGTGGCCCCTACGTGGCAGCCAGTAAGAGTCTCAGCCTTCCTGGTTCGGGAAAGGGAAGGAATGCAGGAGGGGTAGGAGTTCTTTCCTGATAGGATCAGTTGAGAAAGACAGCAGCCTGTGTGTCTTTCCCTTCGACCAAGGTGTCTCTGTTGCTCCATAAATAAAACGTCTCGCTGCCGTCTGAGAGCGCTATAAAGGCAGCGGAACGGGCGTCCCCGGGTCATTCTGGGAGGGGCGCGAGCAGAGACAGGTGAGCTCACCCTGAAGATGCCCACACCCGGCCCGGGCTCCACTCCTGGGAAGGCTTCGAGGGTTGCGGATGGGACTTGTGAGGGGACTCGAAGCAGGCGGGCAGGGGGCAGTACAGCCTTCTTTCTGAGACGCCGAGAGCGAGGAGGCGGATCGGAAAACAGGACGTGGCGAGAGACTCGCTCAACACGCTGAAAGTTCTGCCCCCGGGAGGGCTGCGACCGCAGCTTGAATGTACCTGCAGCGCCCGCGGCCTGGGGACCCGGGGAGCGCGCCCTGAGGGTTCCACGCCTGGCCCGGGGGCCTGCTGCTCTCTCCCGGTGCGCACCTGGAGCTGCGTCCCGGCTCAGGTGCGGGGAGGGAGGGACGCTCGGTGTTCCCTTCCAGCCTTGCACGCGCCCTTGGGCCCTGCCCCAGCCCCTTGGTTTGGGGGAGATTTCAGGACGCGGACAGCGCCGGGGCTGCAGGCCAGAGGGGACTGGGTGGAGCTCGGGAAGCCCCCAAAGCAGGGCTCACTGTCTTCAAATTTGGGGAGCCCCGCGCAGCGGGTGCAGGCCGCGGGACCCGAAGGTCCTCATGTGCCCCCCTGCAAGCTGGCAGTGCGCGCCGTGGGGCGCTTGTCGCGGGCGCCGAGGGCTGCAGGGCGCGGACCAGACTCAGGGTGTTGAACTGCAGCTGGCGGGGGAAGGGGCGGCAGCTACCAGGTGACCCCTTCTTTCTGTTCCTCGCCCTTCACCTCTGATGGTCCTCCCTCACCGCATCTCCTCCCTCCTCGTCGTCCTCCGGCTCTCAGGTCATGGCAGCGCCGGGCGGCAGGTCGGAGCCTCCGCAGCTCCCCGAGTATCGCTGCAGCTACGTGGTGTCGCGGCCAGTCTACAGCGAGCTCGCTTTCCAGCAACAGCACGAGCGGCGCCTGCAGGAGCGCAAGACGCTGCGGGAGAGCCTGGCCAAGTGCTGCAGGTAGCGGCCGCGCGGGCCCGCGTGGGGAGAAGCTGAGCTGCGCGTCCGCGGCTCGGGGCGGGGAGGGCGTGCCCTGCCGGCGAGCGTGGGCTGCGGGCTGCGGGCTGCGGAGCCCCTGGGCACCAGCCGCTTCTCCTAGAGGCCCGACTTTGGGTCTCTGGTCCTCCACGCAGCCCTTCTGGTCGGAGAGTGGCTCCATCAGTCTCGGGCCCAAAATGAACTTATTTGGGAAACTCGTCTTTGGCGACTGTGGCATCTGGGGGCCCCATCTCTCCTTTTCCTCTCTGAAGGAAACCTGGAGCGCCCCTCGGGGTACAGTGGGTCCTTGCTGACTTCATGTAAGGGCCAGCCTGAGGAAAAGGGAATGAAAGGAGATCGTTTAAATGAAATGAATAGGGGAACCCAGCTCTTGACCAGGAGGAGTCCTTGAAACCCTCAAGCTAAGTAGGTGGGCTACTATTCAGTTAGAGGCCAGCGGAGAGCGGGGTGTGCAGAGTATTTCACCAGCTGGCACTGGGACTTCCAGGGAGAGCCACCCTCAGTCTCTAAACCCAAATGTGCCGTAACTAGATATCACAAACATAAATAAATTGGTTTCTAAAACCTTTCATTGCAGAACATTCAAATACATGGCCAAGCAGACAAGTAATGGACTCCCTCCTCCGTTTTTACCCATCCGTCAGCCTCAACAGTGATCAGCTCAAAGTTTATCTTGTTTCTTATATGGACACGTACTTACTTGCCCCCTTCAGTATTATTTTTAAGCAAATCTCATTTATTGTGTATCTCTAAAGACTCTTAAAAATAGAACCAAATTTCATTATCACACCTTGATATCTAAAATAACTCAATATTAAAAATTGAGTAATTGTTAAAATGTTCAATCGTCCCGTAAATGCCATAATTTAAAAAATTTATTCAGATCAGTAGTTGTATAACAGTCACCTCCTTTTGATATTTTTCTTTAATCTATAGGTTATCGAATTTAAAAACTACTATGTAGCAAGATACAAGCTATTCGTTCATCATGCTAAGATTTTCATAAAAACTACCTCCAGACTTCTATTGCCAAAATATACTCAGTGTGTTTATTTTCTTTAAAGAAAATAATAATAATAAGGCGCCTGGGTTAGGAGTCTGAAAATTAATCTCCTTTTAGAGACTCCACATCCATCAGTCTCTGACCAGAAAATAGGTTTTTGTGTAGGAATATTTTCTCAGAGGATTAAAAAGGTGAGCGAGGGGTGGGACACTTAATCCTGTGTTTTCTAGAACAGTGCATTTAAAAGGATAGATACAGTTCTTGGCAAAAGCATGGTAAGCACTTCAGGGTTATTATTTTCCATGAAATTCTCATTGTTTTCTTAATAGTTATAAACAGCAGAATTCGGTTCATAACTTTGTGATTTACAAATTGGTTGTGACTGAGATTGGATTGAAAACCCAGTTTTCTTACTTTTTGACAGTTGTTCAAGAAAGAGAGCCTTTGGTGTGCTAAAGACTCTTGTGCCCATCTTGGAGTGGCTCCCCAAATACCGAGTCAAGGAATGGCTGCTAAGTGACATCATTTCGGGAGTTAGTACTGGGCTAGTGGGCACGCTGCAAGGTAAGATGTTGGTGGATTGGCTCTTAAGTGATTGAGAGTTCTGGTCTCCAGCAGGAGTTTAACACTTCTCCCCAGCTACCATAGGTCTGTGACAGATGTTTACTTACCCTTCAAGGCCTTTATCTTTCCTGCAGATCCCCTAAGTGGAGAGAGAGTCACCTCTTTTCTCCTCTTCCTTAGAATTCTCTTCCTGGGAAATTGCTGCCCCACTAGCTGCGGGACTCCAATTCAGAGGCATATACTCAATAGTGGCTTCTCAATTTTTTTTTTTTAAAGAAATGTGTGTTACATCATGATCTGTGCATATGTATCTAAATTTCCTGTGAAATATTTATCATTGCAATATGCTAATTTTTCACTTTGTTCTATTCTATTATACTTAGGTTTTTAAAATGATGATTGCAGCACATTAAATTATTTTATATCCACACATGGATCTTTTTTGTTTGTTTTGTTTTTCTTTCTTTCTTTCTTTCTTTTTTTTTTTTGAGACGGAGTTTCGCTCTTGTTACCCAGGCTGGAGTGCAATGGCGCGATCTCGGCTCGCCGCAACCTCTGCCTCCTGGGTTCAGGCAATTCTCCTGCCTCTGCCTCCCGAGTAGCTGGGACTACAGGTGTGCGTCACCATGCCCAGCTAATTTTTGTGTTTTTAGTAGAGACGGGGTTTCACCATGTTGACCAGGATGGTCTCGATCTCTTGACCTCGTGATCCACCCGCTTCGGCCTCCCAAAGTGCTGGGATTACAGGCGTGAGCCACCGCGCCCGGCTGTTTTTCTTTTTAGATACAGAGTCTTGCTCTGTTACCCAGGCTGGCGTGCAGTGGTGCAATCTTGCCTTGTTGCAACCTCTGCCTCTTGGGTTCAAGAGATTCTTGTGCCTCAGCCTTCTGAATGGCTAGGACTACAGGCATGTTCCACCATATCAAGCTGATTTTCGTATTTTTAGTAGTGATGGGGTTTTTTCATGTTGGCCAGGGTGATCTGGAACTCCTAACCTCAAGTGAGCCACCTGCCTTGGCATCCCAAAGTACTGGGATTACAGGCATGAGCCACCACACTCAGCCTCCCTCACATGGATCTTGAGGTGCAGTTTGAAACTGGTTTACAGAAAAGTGAAGGAAGCTTCCTAGCCTGGACTCCACATGAGTGTTTTGTCTGCCCCTCGTCCCTTTAAAAAAAAAAAAAAAAAACTCTCTTATTTTAATCTTCTGGGAAAATGTACCAACATAGGTGGTTATTTATTGTTTTATAAACTGAGTTCATACTATAATATTCCCATAAACATCTTAGAAATCTGTTGTATAGTTGGTGCATAGCATTATGGCATTCTCCTCTGTGCCCCATCCCCACCTTGTCATTTCTGCCCCACTCCCAACACCCTGACCAATTTCTCAAAGACTCTGAACCATGAAAACAGAAATCTTCTTATTTATTATAATTTCGTAAAACACCTACTGTGTTCTAGGCACTAGGTATGCTGACATAAAATAAGATGCATCATCTGCTTCCAAGGAACTCATAGTCCAATGGAAAAAGAGATAACAATTCAATGTTATAAGGGCTGTGGCAGGGGCAATGTTGCTTGCTAAGGGAATGCAAATGAGGTGCACTCAAACCAGTCTTAGTGGATCAGGAATGGCTTCTTGGAAGTTGAATGTCAAAGCTGAGTTTCCCTGATGGCTAAGTCTGAGTTTGTCAAGTGATGGGAAGTAGGGTGAGGTGGGGATGGCTTGAAAATAGACTATTTCAGAAGCTAGTAATGAACGTAGAGCAATATTGTGAGCTAAAATTTGACTGTGGAGCTCTCAAGATTGCTCAGATCAAGCCAGGTAGATGACCACAGAGAGGGAGGATGTCCTGTGAACCTAGGGTGGAGTCTCAGCCTGATCAAGCACATTCTTAGTAACAAAGGTGGACGAGAGAGAGTAGGATGGGCTGTGAGGTTCATAAGTTAACAGTGCCAAGTATTCACACTGTGCTCTAAGGGATGTGACATGGCAAGACCCTGTGACTTCTGGGGGACAGGAACCATGCCTGATTCATGTTTGTTCAGCAGGTGGCTAGCATAGAGACTGGTACATAATAGATGGTGTATTTAGTGAAAATGATTGAATTGCATTCCTGATAATTAATCCTCTTTATGTATAAAAATGGCTCCATGTATCCCCAGTTTTCATAGACAAGTATCTTATAAGAATTCATTTTGCTTGTAAGTATCATCAGACATTGTGCTAAGTAAGGATGTTGCCAGTTATCTCATTTAATCCTCATAACAATCCTGCTAGCTAAGTCTATTATTATTTCATTTTCAATAGGGGAGAAATCTATTAAATCTTGCCCAAGGTCATGTAGCTGGTAAGTGGTACGGTTGTGATTTTAATCCAGTGTCTATGGTGTAGTTCCTTACTTTATGGGTAATATGCGTTTCTAGAAACATTATCTCTATAAAGTTATCTGTGTAAGGTGAATTTCTGGGAGGTTAATCTGGCTCACTTATACATTTATTTATCATTCATTCACTTAATACATATTTACAAACTAAATCTGTAGGTCAGGTATCCAGCCATGTGGATTCAGTGGCTCATTAACAGGCACAGGTGCTGATTTCGTGGAGCTTCTAAAAATTTTTAAAGGGTAGGGATGCGAATTAAATAAGAAGATAAATAGAAAAATAATTATAGATTGCAATATTTATTGTGGTGGATTAAATATGCCGTAATGCAGATTAATTTGAAAGGCAGGTCTTTTTTTTTTTTTTAGAGCTCTTGAAAAGGTACAAATGTGATTTCTTTCTTTTTTTTTCTGAGAAGGAAAAAAATAATAAGAAGAAAAAGAATAAAGAAGAGGAAGAAAGAGAAAGAGGAAGAGGGAGAGAGAATGCGGGTATTGCTTTATTGCCCGGGCTAGAATGCAGTCTAAATATGAGTATGCCTATAATTGTCCTTAATAATGGAGACATGAAAGAAAATGAGGGAAGAGAATAACAAACGAGGAGCCAACCAATATTTCGTTTAAACTTCTAAGTTGATATGATGTGGTACTGATAAGAGTGTATATTTTGTGTATTTAAAGTGGAGAGTTCTATAAATGTTAATTACATTTACTTGTTCCAGATCTGAGTTCAAGTCCTGGATATTGCTGTTAATTTTCTGTCTCATTGATCTGTCTAATATTAATGTTGAAGTCTCCCACTATTATCGTGTGGGAGTCTAAGTCTCTTTATTAGTCTTGTATGTCTGGGTATTCCTGTATTGGGTGTGTATATATTTAGGATCTTTAGCTCTTCTTGTTGTTGCATTGATCCTTTTATCATTATATGATGTCCTTCTTTGCTTCTTTTGATCTTTGTTGCTTTAACGACTATTTTATCAGAGGCAAAAATTGTAACTTCTGCTTTTTATTTATTTATTTTTGCTCTCTGTTTGGTTGGCAAATCTTTCTCTATCCCTTGTTTTGAGTCTTTGTGTATACTTGAATGTGAGATGGGTCTGGATGCAGCATACCGATGGGTTTTAGTTTCTTATCCAAATAGCCTGTCTGTCTTTGGATTGGGGGATTTTGTCAATTTAAATTTAGAATTAATAATGATATATGTGAGTTTAATACTACCATTTAATATTAGCTGGCTATTTTGCCCATTAGTTGATGTAAATTCTTCATTACATTGATACTCTTTACTTTTTGGTATTTTTTTTAGAAAGGCTGATACTGTTTGTTCCTTTCTATGGTAGTGGTTCTTTCAGAAGCTCTTGTAAAGCAGGCCTGGTGGTGATGAAATCTCTGAGTGCTTGCTTGTTCACAAAAAAACTTTATTTTTCCTTCACTTATGAAGCTTAGTTTGGCTGCATGTGAAATTCTTGGTTGAAAGTTCTTTTCTTTAAGGATGTTGAATATTGGTCCCCACTTTCTTCTGGCTTGTAGGGTTTCTGCTGAGAGATCTGCTGTAAGTCAGATAGGCTTCCCTTTGTGGGTAACCTGACCTTGCTCTCTGGCTGCCCTTAGTATTTTCTCCTTCATTTCAACCCTGGTGAATCTGACGATTATGTGCCTTGGAGTTGCTCTTCTTGAGGAATATCTTTGTGGCGTTCTCTGTATTACCTGGAATTGAATATTATCCTGCCTTACTAGGTTGGGAAAGTTTTCCTGAATAATATCCTGAAGCGTATTTTCCAGCTTGGATTCATTCTCTTCGTCACATTCAGGTACACCTATCAAGCGTAGATTAGGTCTTTTCACATAGTCCCATATTTCTTGGAGACTTTGCTCATTCCTTTTTATCCTTTTTTCTCTAATCTTGTCTTCTTGTTTTATTTCATTGGGTTGGTCTTCGGCCTCTGATATCCTTTCTTCTGCTTGATCAATTCGGCTGTTAAAACTTGTGCATACTTCACGTAGTTCTTGTATTGTGTTTTTCAGCTCCATCAATTTACTTATTTTCCTCTCTAAATTGTGTATCTTGTTAACATTTCGTCAAACCTTTTTTCAAAGTTCTTAGTTTCTTTGGATTGGGTTAGAACAAGTTCTTTTAATTCACAGAAGTTTCTTATTATCCACATTTTGAAGCCTGCTTCTGTAATTGGAACACACTCGTTCTCCATCAAGCCTTGTTTCGTTGCTGATGAGGAACTGAGATCCCCTGCTGAGGGAGAGGCGTTCTGATCTTGGGTATTCTCAGCCTTTTTTGGGTGTTTTCTTCCCTTCATTGTAGATTTATCCATCTGTGGTCTTTATAATTACCATCTTTGTAATTGGGTTTCTGAGTGGACGTCCAACTTATTGATTCTCAGCGCTGAAATCTGAGCAACCCACTGCGCCAACCAAATCAGCGGCATTAAGATTGATGGTGCTTTTCTGACTCTGCACCAAGAACCGACGCTCCGAGGAGCCGACAAAACCGCCTCGCCGGTCACTAGAGTCGCTCTGGCGACCCGTGGGGCTCCTCCGCTGGGAATCTCCTGGTGCGTGAGCAACAAGAATTCATGTGAAGGTGTGGCGTCTTC